CTTCTTCTTGTCTTCATCATAGGATTGATCGTGATAACCTACTACACAAGTGAATCGTGATAATAAATTGTTTTATTCGTTTATCGTTAATTTCTCTTAGGAAAGGCCTTTGAGATAATTGTGATATTAAGTTTCTTAGTTTTGTTAGCTTGGTTTGAGACGATTCCAGGTCTAACACCGTAAAAAATCCAAAACTATTCATCGGCTCCGTATATCTTTTTTCTAACGTGTCAGCCTTAGTTTTAATTGCTTGACTGTCTTGCCAGGATTAAGTCAAAGTATTTAGCTCTCTAACTCCATAAGATATCATTCGTCTAACCGTCGATGTTATAACTGTTTACATCTAAAACATAACTAATTTCAGAGAAAGTTGTCATGATCCTACTTAAATATGCTACGCCGGCAAGCAAATATTATCCAGAAAAAGGAACTGCAATAATATCAAGACAATGATTACAGGAATTAACAATTATCGGGAATCATTTTAACACGAAGTTCACTAAGGGCATCATGGAATCCTCGATGTGCCACTCCTAATAACTGAATAGCTCCGAATTAATCATGTGATATGTAGCAACACCATAACCTTCAGGACTGAACGAAGATGCAGCGTATGACCCAACTTCATGACAAGTCAAATAATCAATGCATTCGGCTACATGTTCTGTTTGATTAATTTGAGAACCGGGTTCATCTGAGAGTTTACCTTCACTGCAATACTTTACAGTTAGATCAGTTAGAAATATATGATTTGGGTCAGGTGCGTATCCCGTATCTGTAATACTAAGGTTCATCGTGTAATTACTTAAATATATTTATAGTTATTATGGTCTTTTAAGGCGACGAAACGTAAAGATCTTCCCTGTTTATTTTCACCATAAAGTTGAAGTTACGATCATAGGTACATCCCACATAGTGACGTTTACAGTTGGTAAGGTGACTCATGCTTTAAAACTTGATCATTCCTGACCAAAAGGGACGCCGATTATGGAATGTCGCAAGAATAAAAGGTATGTGCTGGCAGCACATCTCAAAATCATGTCCTACGGTGATGCAATAAACTTGTCGAAAAATCAGAGACCCTATATACAGTGCAGTTTATTCGGAAAAAATTACAAGATACTAGGGAGACCACATGCTTTTAAACCATTTCGGTATTCAATTCTTTTTTTAAATTCATGGTTTAAGAAAATCACTTTTATTTCATATCAACAGAATGACAAGTCAAAATTGTATAATTTTACGATTTTCTTAATCGGAATTTATATTAGTACTTTTAATCTTGTCAGTTAATCAGATCCGATCTCGGAACATTTATTTATAACAGAATTTTATTTTATTTTTTATCATCTCCTTCAATATATTCAAATCCATTGTTAAATAAAATAAAATAAAATAAATGCAAAGTCAAACATTCATTACATTTCGAACATTAACGTGTCTGATTTTAATCTTTATTTCATCGGGTCACCATCATGATGATCAAGAAGATCTAACATTTTTATTCTAATAAATTTGTTCAATCATTGTGATCCTTCTTTGATATTGATGTGATAATATTTCCTTGATGAAGTAATGAGTAAATTAACCAATATTCTTAAAAACATAGTAAGTAATTTTTTTTTTCAACAGTATATTTTGAATTTGTTAAATAAGAAAAGTTTTTCGTTAAGAAGAAGAGAAGTTGAGACACAAATAACCAAATAAAAATTCAAGTTCATCAAAATTTCGACCAATAATTAATCTAACAAGAAAAATCTCGCAACACGCCCGTTTGGCGATCTAATATCATTTGGTATTGTCTCAAGGAATCTAATTTTTTTGAATTGACCTTATCCAAACATTTTTAAATTCTTTATCATGCCAGAAATGCACAAAATTTAGTATCCTGCTTTGCATTTTTTTGCAAGGCCAATATGAATATTTGGTAATATTTTTCTCGTATGAAAATGTATAACCCAAATTTCCGATGGACAAAGATAATCAGCATAACCAAGAACCCTTTCAAGATGCTCATTTAAAAATTGATGGAGACGCTATTGCTAAAAATATTCCAATAAATTTGCATAAATTGAAGGAATCTAAACTAAACGTTATATAAAAAATTTTTTTAACCTGAATTTTTTCTTATTATAGCAAAGACAATTTTTTAAGAGATGTTACTACCATCACACTAAAACTGCTGCCTGGCAAAATTCAAAGGTTTCGACAGATGGCAAAATCGAAAACTAGATTTGACGTTTGTCAAATTTTTTTTAAAGGTAAAACCGTCCGTGAAAGTTTTGACGGTTGGTAAACATTTTCGATAGGTGAATTAGTATAATCAAATCTTTGATATTATAATGAGGTTTTAATTTCCTTCGGGTACATTTTAATACATCCTTTTGGAAATCCTCCAACCTGTTAAGTTTCGTTAAATATTGATAATTTAAATCGTGAATCACACAAAATCATCGAAATTGGCAAAAAACCGTCGAACCCTGAAAATATTTTAAAAATAAAAAATTTCAACTAAATTTTAATCACAATAAGTTTTCAAGACCAACTGAATACATAAAATGTCTGCGGTTATCTCACTTTTTAGTTTGTTCGAGATAGAGAAAGACCTTTCTAAGTTACTATTTAAAGAAATAATAATGTTTTTGATTCATCAGGAATGAAATGTTCGAATATCTTTGCAACAATCGATATTATTGAAATCAACTTAATAATCCTGTTCCTGCTTAGAGATATCGAAAATATAACTTTTATGGTTGAAATAAAAAAGAATGCATACTACTGGGTTTAAAAAATCATACCGTTAGCACGTTGAGAGATTTTACTTTTTTTTTCTGATTCTTGATTCTTCTTATTGTCGCTTTCAGTTTCCGTTGATTTAGATCGAGCCGTTTAGAGATAAAAATTGGAAGTAAGATTGTGATTACTACAAGCTAACGATTTTTTTTCATATTTAGATATACAGACTCCGCCAAAGGTCTCCGACGCTTTTTGGCTCAATATAAAACTTAAATTTTATCTAACCACAAGTTAATATTTTTCGGATACTCAAGCTTCAAAAAGAGAGATTTAGTTTAGTTTATACGTACCACTCAAAGTTATAGCAAAAGATGCTATCAAAAGAATATCCAGTTGGTTTAATTAATCAATTAAGCCTTTTAAAATTGAAGGATATGGTTGTCTCTGTAGAAATATACTTCAATATTCATTTCTTTAAATCAAAAGTTTATTCTAAAATAAATATACTTATTTTATTTTTAAATACATTAATACCAGATTACTTTTATACCAATTCCTTACTTTATAATGAAATAAATTATTTTATTGTTCTTAATTAGAAATAAATATAATAGCTCAATTATCGATTTGTTTTATTCTTTCCATAGACTTTTGATAAAGTGTTATCATCATAGATGTACGTCTAAAATATGTATGCACATGATATATTGAAAGTAAATGAAATAGCGGAAAAAAACATATTGACAACATGTAGATCGAGAAACAAACAAGAATAGATTTTATGTAAATAAATATGTTTGTATGAGTATATATATATATAAATTATCGAGTAGATTGACACACTCTCTATTCTGGTAAAATAAAAAAAATAAAATAAAAGATTGCTTATAAAAAAATAATAATAATTCTTTCCCCTCTTTCGAACATGAAATAGCCGCATGTTTTTATATGTAACGATAATTATTTCTCAACGTAAATGAATGAATTTAGAAAACTTAATATTTTTATTATCGTCAAAACCCTATTAATAACGCAGTAAAGTTTTAGATTGAATTATAACTTTTTGGCAAATTTTTCATAAAAGTACGGTACGGTACATTGAATTCTTCATGAATTTCACAAATAAATTTGTAAAACTTTATGTATTTTAAGTATGTATTTATTATTTAAATGAAGAAGGATGGGAACTTGGATTGTAAATTTTAAATCAACTCACAAACGCTTGCTTTTCTCTGGCTTTTAATTTACATGCCGCAGCAGACTATTATGCATGCTAACGATCCATTTGCTAAATACATCATTAAAAAATAAATAAATATGACTAGCTAGTATATTTTTGCATTTTAATACTTTTTTCATATGGATACTACTGAAATGATCTTTCTTTTTTTTTCTTTTGAAAGGAAAATGTAAAGTCTTGTGTCAGCAATTTCTACTGCGCATTATCAACTCACTATAATTCGAGAGAAAAAATATATACACAACGCGTAAGATAAATAATTCCTTAATTTTGTTAGTAAGCGTCTGTTATTCCGTGTGTGCAATGTGTTATCTATTGTCATATCATTGATATATATTTACGGGAAATTAATTAAAATCAGTAATTATAACGAACGAAATGTCTTTACAATTGTTGCATAACATAAACTTTATGGTAATTATTTACCATAAAGTCATTAATTTTACATAGTATTGACGCTTTGGTTAATGCATTAATAAACACGTGATTGCGGATGTCGCGTAATGGATTTTTATTTATTTATTTATTTGAAAAGAAAAATGTATATTTAACAATATATAGATAATTTGTATCGTAAACGAATCTTCAAATAAACCAAAATAAAACCATAATATAAAAGACTAGATCAATTATTTAGTGGTAGCATCAAAACTTAATCTGACCGTTAACAAAGCAAGCGCGAGTGAATTAATTGTAATAACAATGACCTTCCATGTAGGCGTATATGGTAAATAAATGCGTTTTTGTGGTATAATACTGGTCGTCTGCGTATCCACATACACAAAAAGGATGTAAAGTGGGAAAGCTATGGCATAGCATATCTCGAATATCAGAGTACTATTTTATGTACCAACGAAAAAATCAGAAGAAATTTGATTAGCATTTTTTTTTTTTTTTTTTTTTTTTTTACGTTTGACGTGAACGTTTTTTTTCAAGAAAATGTTTTGTACATACGTCTTGGCCGAAGAAGCGTAGATCGTGGACAATAAGTTTCCGATAGCGTGTGCGCTTGATGCAAGTATTAAAAAGATAATATGTCTTGGATGATTAAATGTAGTTGGCAATAATTTACGAGTGTTATTGTCATGAATTTCTTCGGACTTTAATGGAAGTGTTTCATTTCCTGCATCTTGAAGGTGTTTCTTTGTGGTAATAAAGACGCGCACAAACTCAATAACCAAAGCATAATCCATGCTTAATCCTAAAGAGCGAATTATATTTTTTTTTAAAAAAAATAAAATAAAATAAATAAAGTAACAAAATAACGATTGAATTTAAAAGTCGTGTCCGTAAAAAAACACTAACCTTGAATTTTAAAAAAAAGAGCATCAATCGGAAAATCATTAAAGACGCAAATACCGCCAACAGATATGATATAAATAAACATCCATACGAAGTATGAAACGTTCTTTATTCTACCACCACTTCCAATCAAGAGTAAAGTTGCGAGTTCAAGAGTATTATGTGATACAGCAATTACACTCCATAACTTTCCTATATCAAATAATAGAGCTGCAATTGCAGTTACGAATGTAGCAAAAGTGTAAATTACAAGTGAACGATTGAAACCAGTTGTTGGCACTCCGGAAATGCTTTCTTTGTTATTATCATCAGGATCATCGGAAACGGTGTAAAATCTAGTGATAAAGCTGGGATTTGTCGGTGGATTGAGAACCAGTTTCAAGCCAATCACACCAACCACGAGCATGAAAGCAGAGGCGAAGGTGATCATTGAGTCATTTTTCTGTCTATCAAATCCTAATGATGAATGATAATTGTTAATTTTTAAGTTTTTATCATCAATTTATCAAGTTAATAAAAAAAGGTAAAAAATAATCACCTTGATACACTCCATGCCATGTTGGATATCCAGTTAAACGATCTGGTACCAGCTCTATCTCTGGAATTGTCACCGAGCTGAGACTTAAAATTATCGCTCCTAACACGCCACCCGAGAATATAATTGCAAGAAGTTGTCCGCATTTTAGACTCATTTTTGTAATTCGTTATTTGTTATGAGCAAAAAGAAAATAAATTTTTTTTTAGTTATTAATGAATTCGTTAAAAAGTTAGGTGATTTATAAAGGAATTTATAACGGTACGGTTATCATTCAGTTAATAGAATTTTATTGAACAGCGAATAGAAAAGTAGTAAATTTTTATTTATAGGAAAAGGTTACCAAATTGATGTATGTAAATCGGAGATCAAACCGAATAATTCCAAAATTATACAACAATATTTAAAATATTACCAAAAAAGGTAACCGTAGTAATTATTTATAGTTTAACCCTTTAGTTTTAGATCGCATAAACTTTTTAGTCAAGAAAAGTTATTGAAATTAATTAAATAATAAAAATAGAAAATATACAATAATAGAAATATACGGCTATAACATTTAGAAAAGAGAGGTAACTGTTAAACTATTGACATCATGATCATTCAACAATTTGTGGAAAAGAATGAAAATTATTATAGAAAATAGACGCAAGATTATTTTACCATAGAACTAACTTTATTTCTAGAGATAATGTTCACCTTTTTTTTCACTAAACACAAAAACTTTTTTTTCCTCTAAACTTTTTACGAAAATCCCATAAGCTGCGCCACTCTTTCATTTTTATCATTATTAAGGTTCTTCATTCTTTTCGTCATTTAGTAAAAATTATTATAAATAGTATCCAATAAAAATAATAAACTTAAACTAATATTGGATAACAGGATATTCAGATATTCGGATATTCGATCGGTTATATAATTTTTATGAAACGATCTGCATTTAAATTACTAATTGAACTTTCAACAGTTTCTACTTTAAAAACCAATTCATCATATATTTGTTTCAAAATACCAATTATATTGTTGAAATAAGGAACAATTTAAAGTAATTCGGAAAGATTAAGCAATACATATATTACAATATTGATGTGGATGCCGACATTGTAAAAAACTGCGGTGTAATATAAATTTTCGATGAAATATCACACATAAGCCTAGGGTTGGGGAATCCGGACCGATTCCAAGAGTCTATTCTTTTGAAATTTCGTATTTTAATAAATTATTAAAACATTCACCCGAATCGTTTATTACCTAAATAAATCTGTCAAATTTTTTTTTTAATGTTTTTATATAAGCTGAACCTGCTTAACTATATGATAAACTAATTTTTATAATAAATTACCCGAAATATTCAAGTAAAAAGTTTTTTCGAAAAAAAAGATCGGGATCAATAATTATATCAGGCTACTTTACATTGAAAACTCCATAATTTTGTATGTATATCGTAATTGCGCAGTTAATTAATTTGCATTTATTTAGTTTAATATATTGATATTGCGAAAGTGTGTAGAATGCCGGCGTTGAGGCAACACTGATTAATTGATATTATTAAATAAATATTTGTCACAATTACTTCATTTTAATTCAATAGATTCCTTCTGCTTACAATACATATTGTTTATAAATACATAAACGAAAGAACTGAATACTAAACTCGTCTGATGTTAGAAACACGAGTGACAGGTATTAAACTAAAGGACAAATTTCACGAACGACTCGAATAAGAATAATGGATTCATCATAAAGTCATAGCCATAGATTTCAAATTCCCAGATAAGAATTTTTTGAGACGTCCTCCGATGTTTCGAATCATACAATTAACCGTTAGTCTATTTGAAAGACTTCAAGATGTTGAAATCTTGAAGTTTTCAAATGATATTTAAGGTCAACTGTAGTTTTAATATTAAAATCGGGGAAAGTTTTTGATAATAACAGGTTAAGTATGGATTTGTTACACAAAATTATTTGAAAATCGCTTAATCAGTTTCCGAGTTCTACGAAACTAATTAGTTGAATTATCTGATACAACACTTGACTGTGATAAAACTATAATCCGCAAACTGATTTTTTGCCTTCAATTGCTCCTCGCTTTCAATTAATTATTTATTTTATCTGCTCTGAAAAATTTATTTAAATAAACAATAATCTTGAAAAAAAGTGAAACAATAATGATTTAAGAAAAGATAACTTGAAAAAAACTACGATGCCAGCATAATGATTTTAACTATAAAATATGACTCGTAGGAAAAATTGTTGAAAAACGAATTATTGTCCGAAGCATAGCAGAGGACATTTTACTTCTAGGCATTTCAAATGCAATGTCGTTCTGGCCTGCATGTTGATTGACGAATCATATTTTGAGTACGTGTTGTCGATTTTGTGTTACATAGCGTGTATTGCGTTGAGATCCGAATAAAGTAAAAAAAAAATAATATATTTTTATGATATAAATTTTATTCAGTGTATAAAATTTTTCGTGTTTACATCATTTTTTGATTAAAATGCCCTGATTTACATTTTTTTTTTTTTTTTTTTATAATGCTTCCGACGCCCGTTACCTAGTAGTAATTACGATTGAGAATTCGATAGTTCTGCTCAATTTCAAACTATTTGTTAACAAACATTAATTCTAAAAATAAAAAACTTTAATAAAGGCTTATTTATTTTAAATATGACGAAAAGTCTTGAAAAGCTATTTCAAATTACCTAATAAAATTCTTAAAATTATTTTATTTTTTTAATTTGAAATACTTCATAGTCATCTATAGAGATTTTATCCTTGGTATTTCTTATCGATTTTTCATAATAATTATGTTTATAATAAACATTTTCAAAAGATTTATTTGGATCACCATAAATCTTGATGTCCTCACCAAATCCTGGACCATCCCATTTAGCTAATCGACATGCATACTTTTTATCCTTCTGTCTTATTTTACTATAGATGGCATCCTTTAAGCCAAAACTATTACATTTAAAAGAAAATATAAAACTCTCTTCAGTAGTGAGCCAATCGCCATCAGTTGCCCACTTTAAAGGATTAAATCCACCATAAATTTCATCGGTTCCTTTAACTTTTATAAAAGAGACGGTATTTTCTTTACCATCACATATTTCATGAAATTTGTTAGGGGTAAACCCATCTCTACTTCCTCGTAATAGTAAGTTGAATTCATAAGGCAAATATAACTTTTCTCTAACGGAAAATTTTCTTTCATGTTTGACGTTATCAACCCATCTTGAAATTAATGAAACTATATCAATATTAATTATTTTTGTATCAAATTTTCCATAATATCTAGGGGCCAGATAATTATTTTTAGGAGGTTTACTTATCAGGATCTAAAAAATATTTTAATAAATCCTGGTAAAGCTTAGGTTTAAGCAATTTTTGGTAAGGAATAACTTGTTCTAAAAATTCTTTAGAAGATAAACTAAAAAATCTAATATGAGACAAGACGTTACTCAAAGTAGTTTCCATTAATCTGAATTCATCATCCGTCCAATTTGATGGATCCGGCATTAACGTAGGATTTCTCGCGTGACCCCATTTTAATACGGACGACCAAATATCGACCTCTTCCATTTGCAATTCACTTTTTTTTAATAATGGTAATAATGATTTTTCGTCAAGGGAGGTAAAATCTAATGATTTAAATATTTTAGATGGATATAATGACATTAAATTTATGCAGTATTGTTGCAATTCTGTAAAACAAATCGATTTTAGACTTGTTCTGTGAACCAAGTCAAAATTTTGATCAATCCATTCGGGCTTTTCATCAATCAAATATTTCTGTAAATAATCCAACAATTCCTGTAAATGAAATTCATCTGCTACTAGTAATAATTTAATGATGTCCGAAATGTTATTGTAACCATTTAATGAAAGGAATCCGCCATAAATATATCTGTTAAATAAGCGCCACCATAAAGAAAAGGTTTTGAAATATCTTTTAAAATAATGACGATTGAAATCATAATACGTAAAACTACTTACTTTAAAGTAATTTCAAAAATCTCCGGTGAAATGTTTTGAAATTTCATACGAAACAAGTCATTCTTTACAGAAAAATGTCGTCTGAAATATGGAGAACGATAACTCAAAATGACAGCATGTGCACGAAATTCTTTCATTTGGACACCGTCTCCAATTTTAAACAAAACGTCCTGATATTCATCATCATTATCTAAGATTTCAGTAAAATTCTGACTTAATTTCGAAAAAAATTTAGACATTTTGTGAAAAAAAAAAAAAATTAACGAAAGTCGGCAAATTGGTGCCTTTTTAATGCATGGAATTAACGGTTTAACTAAATATAGAGTAGATCTTACCCATATAAGTTTTCCTGTCACAGATTTCAATGTTTAACTAATTTTGTTAAGATCACATGATATCAACTCAATAAATAACGAAAGGAAAAATTCAAAAAAAAATCAAAATACTCTCTTATTACAAATTGCTTCGAGATAAAATTTATATTTAAAAAAAAAATTGTCGACATTTATAAGAAGTTTTTTTTTTTATTATACATAAAGTATATAACCAAACAATAATGAGAAATAACGAACGAATATAAAAATACTCAATAATTGAAAATTAGTTTTATTTTCAATTCAATGGCTAAAATAATACTTATTCTGAAAGAATTACGCAATTCTTGGATCTTAATTATGGTTCAGCAATGATTACTTGAGAAATCCCATTAACGTAAAAAATCGGGATATTGTTACATTGAATATAAATTCGGCCGGAAACTCCATAATTTCGTATGCAAATCGTTTTCGATAGTTGCAGTTAGTCCTTTGAAGATCATTTTGCCAGCTCTCAAGGTGCCAGGATGTCAGTATGATAAAATGACATGTCCTTAATAATTTTTTTTTTATAAATGCAATTCAACATTCCATGCTCGCCCTTCTTGTATTTGCATACATAAACCCTGAAAACCTTCCTTTAATCCCTTCGCGATATTTTTTTTCGCTTTCGCCGTCTTTACATTATAACTTTCAAAATTTGTAATTTCGTTTATTTTTAATTCCCCGATTAACTTTTCGTAATTGCACAGTTTTAATTAATTTGAGTTTTATTGATTGGCATTTTATTTGGTTTATATATTGACATTGCGAAAGTGTAGAGCGCCGACGTTGAGGAAACAT